CAGACAGCTTCTCGCAGCTGGTGTGACGGGCACATGGCCATATGGAGTTGAGCTGACAGCTAGCCATGGCCAGGCCTCTGCATATGGCCTGTCATTGCCCATTGGCCTACACCAGCTAGGTTCTGTGGATACTAGACACCACCCAGGCACTGGTACCAAACTGGCCTCATGTCACATTCTGGTTCAGTCCAACTCCTGGGCCCAAGTCATGCGCATCGCCAGGCATCGGCTCCCCAGCAGCACAGCTGAAGATAAGGTTTGTCTCTAGCAGGTGACTGCGGACAGCCTGGTACACAGTGGGTGCTGGCTGCAGCGAAGCCACCATGGGGAATGCTCACATCCTGTATTGTAGCAAGCCCTGGGTTCAAATCACAGTTTCATTCCTGAGTCCAGCTTCTGGCTAATGGCCACAGCATGTGCCAGCTGAAATAATTGGGTCGCTGCAGTACACTGGTGGGGGCGCTGAGGGAGAGCGCCAACAGACAGCTGAAGGCTCTCCCTGACTCCTCACTGCCTTTCAAGTCAATCCATAATTTTAAAAAATAAATTAATAGTACTAGGAAGGCAGAAATTTACTCACGATGCAGTTGAGGAGGCAGGGACTGGTGGTGGGAGGGCCTAGGGGGAGACATGTCCCCGGAATGGAATTCTCACCACAGGATTGGCTGTACCAGCATGAGCCGAGCCTAGCTCCCGCCTCTGTATGCCTCCTGGCTCATCACACGGTCCCACCTCTGCGTGAGCTCCACCATCGCCATGTTGCACCTGCATCATAGGCCAAACCATCACCACTGCCCACTTCCATGTGCCTGCAGAACCAGGAGTTCAGCAGAATGAGCTGCCCCAAGGCCTGTCTACACGAGGGGCTGACTGACATACCAAACCAATGGCAGTCCTAGAAGCCAGCCTGGGCCACTCACCTCGATGGGTTTTGGATCTCCCCACTGCTCTGTCTTGACCCTCTGAGCTCACTCCCCAGGGCTTCAGTGTCTCCTGGTCAGAGAAGCAGGAGACCACCATGACACGGGGGCAGGCCTGGGGACAGTCAGGCAGCAGAGGAAGGTGCGTGCCAGCCTAGTTTATCTCATTGATAATAATGCTCACTTATGGTCTGGCACGATGGGAGCACTACTTCTGATATCTTCAAAGAGGGGACCAACTACTGGTGTGTGCTGCCAAGATTTCTTCCCAAAAGTTCAACTAATTCCCAACCACAGTGGGCACAGGGCACACATGTTCGTTAAAAAATTTTAAGGCCAGTGCTGTGGCATACCAGGCTAAGCCTCTGCCTATGGCATTGGAACCCCATACGGGCCCCGCTTCATGCCCCAGCTGCTCCACCTCTGATCCAGCTTGCTGCTAGTGGCCTGGAAATCAGCAGATGGCCCAAAGCCTTGGGACCCTGTAACTACACGAGGGTACCCATATGAGGACCCAGAGGAGGCTCCCGGCTTTGCACCAGCCCAGCTCTGCCCTTTATGGCAATTTGGGAGGTGAATCAGCAGATGCAAGACCTCTCTGTAAATTTGCCTTTCAAATAAAAATGCCTTTTTTTTTCAAGTCATAAGCAAACTGCCACTCCCTCCCTTTCGCATCCCTGTGTTTTACTTGCATAACCCAAAGTCTTCAGTACCTCGGACACAATTTATTAGTTGTGCTGATGACTGATTTTTTCATTGTTTTTCTTTTTTTGTAGTCTTATGCTAAAATTAGCTGGCATTTGCTGAAAGAAGAGATTAGCATTAGATTCCGCTGTGTGTTTACAGGGACCAAGCAGAGGCTCAAACTGCAGAGAAGTCTCTTTCTCTCCCACAGAAGAGAGACCTAGAAGAGCAGTACAGGGCTGGCCTCACCAACGCACCACAGCCCTGGACACGCACACGCCCGTGGACACCTCATCCCCACTGTCCCGGGTGGCGGCCGGACTGAGAGAACAGACGCCTGGATGGGGCATTTTTGCTTTTATCACACTTCTTTTTGCATCTTTTTAAAAAGCATTTCTTTTTATTGGATAGTCAGATATACAGAGAGGAGGAGAGACAGGAATATCTTCCATCCAATGATTTACTCCCCAAGCGGCTGTAACAGCTAGAGCTGTGCTAATCTGAAGCCAGGAGCCAGGAGCTTATTCTGGGTCTCCCATGTGGGTGCAGGGTCCCAAGGCTTTGGGCTGTACTCCACTGCTTTCCCAGGCCACAAGCAGGGAGCTGGATGGGAAAGCTGGGTCGCTGGAATTAGAATCAGTGCTTATATGGGATCTCGGCACATACAAGACGAGGACTTTAGCTGCTAGGCTACTGTGCCGTGCCCTATTTGCATCTTTTTTTTTTTCTTTAACAAAGATTATTCATTTATTTAACTTCCGATGCAACAGCCAGGGTTGGGTCAGGCCAAAGTCAGGGGCCACAAGTTCCATCTGAGTCTTCCATGTGGATGATAGCACTTGGGCCATCTTCTCATGTTTTTTCCCCAGACAGAAGTGCAGCAGCCAGGACACGAACTGGCATCTCCATGGTATGCTGATGTTGCAGATGATGGTTTGACTCCCTATGCCACATCATTAGCCCCTTCTAGCTGCATCTTATTGGCCAAAAATCACATACATGACTTCATCCAGCTGACGTGGAGGTTGGACAAGGGATTCAGGTAAAAATCAGGGTCTCACTGAGATGACCAAGCGAGGAATGGAAATTGAGAGGAAGCCAAATGGCCTGTCCATAGACAATAAAAAATCCCGTCGAAGGGGCCTGTGTTATGATGTAGACAGTGCTTGTCCTGGCTACTCTATTTCCAATCCAGCTCCCTGCTGACAGCAGTGAGGATGCCGGAAGTTTCTGAGCCACCGTGCACATGGGTGGCCCAGATAGAGCGGATAAAGCTCCTAGTTCATGGCTCCCGTCTGGCCCAGTACTGGCTATCATGGCCTTATCGGGAATGAACCAGAGAACAGAAGATTTCTCTCTCCCTCTAACCCTGACGTTCAAAATAAGATTCTTTTTTTAAAAAACTCGTGTTGAAGACGACCTAATCACAGAACAGTTATGATGGTCATGAGGTTGATGATAGGTAATAATTGCTAAGCAGTTCATCCCAACGTGGTAAACACAACTCGAGTGCAGCCACTGATTGAACTAAGCTCCTAACACAGAGCCTAAAGCAGTGCTGAACCAGAGCGGCAGCTGTGGCTCAACGGCAAGAGGTTCTGGAAGCACTTAACCGATTAAGCCGTCTCCAGCCCACACTCCCGTTCCCCATGAAAGCTGTCAGATCGTGTCACTGGAGCAAAGCCTGTGATGAGCAGGCTTCATTTTGGGGGACTGCCCGACCCACAAATTGCTCTTGTCTTGCTTTGCTTTCTTCTGTCTCGTTTATAATTGCCCAAGTCAACTCTGTGGATTTTAATTAGTTTAAGATTTTCCCTTTTAAGAAGTGAGTGCTGTTCTTGGCACCAGCCACACATTGCTTAATCCTTGCCACACCCCTGTGAGGCAGGCGGCATTACTGTCCCTGAACAGCAGAGGGGACCCAGGCAGACAGATGAGGACACTTGCCGAGGTCAGTGAACGGCCAGAACCTGGGTCTGCTTCCAGAACACACACTCTGGAACAGGCATCAGCAATCACAGGCTTATCTGCCCACGCGGGGGAGAAAACGCACCCAAGCCTTGGAGTGTCACCCATACAACAAATGTACCTGATGTGATATCGGCAATTCACGGCCTGTGTTTGTCACTGGTTAGGGGCACAGACTATACATACTGGGGCAGTAGCATGCAGCATAGCACAGGTACTCCAGAAATGATTCATGGGCCTACTGTGCACCAGGCCCTGAATGTGCAGAAATGAGGGACGCAGACCCTGCTCATTAGTACTCAGGGTCCAGAGGAGCCGGATGTGCTAACAGCAGCAACCAAGAAAGATCCAAGCCTGGCACAGCTGGATATAGTCCCCACGTCCCTCATAGTGGACATGGTGCTGAAGACAGGCTGTAGCCCAATCTGAAATTCCCCACCCCATTCTAGGCAAAAGATCTGGCCACAGGTAGCCACCAGAGGCTTGAGCAGGGTGACAGGGCCAGTTGTTTCTCCAGGTGATGAACTAAAGGCGGGAAGGAAGAGAGTGACCAGAACCCAGATGAGGCGGCTGTGGGGACACGAAGCAGCCCCAGTGAGAGGAGGGCATGGAAGGAGGCAGGGAGCCGGGAGGGGAGGTTGGGCTTCCAAGCCTGAGGCAAGGGACTGATGGGGTGCAGGGGCAGCAGGCAAGAGGGGTCTGGAAAAAAAGAAGGAGGGCCAGGGTGAGGAGAAACAAAAGCTGCCCTGATGGGCCAGGGAGCTGGGGGAGGGGGTAGGAGGGGGATGGCCAGAGCCAGGGAGGAGGGCCGGGAGGGGGCTGGCGAGGGCCCTGGCTTGAGCTGGGGCAGACAGAGCAGTTGGCCGCCGGCAGCCTTGTGCTCATGGCTCAGCAATGTCCTGGGCCTGCCAGGAGACGGCCTGGCCCCCGCTGCCCCGGCCCCCACCAGCCCCAAGCCAACTCCCACATCAGGAGCTCTGAAGCCGCCCCCCTCTACCGCCCCCCAGAACTCAGGCACACCTCCGCCCAGCCTCCTCCTCAGGCCTCCCCTGGACCGGGGATGAAACACAGGCCAGACAGGACTGCAGGACAGCCATCTGCAGGGGGCCGCCAGGAAGTGGGGTGGGGGAACCCAGGTCCAGCAGGCGGGTAGGCAGGCAGGCAGGCGGGCAGGCGGGCAGGCGGGCAGGCGGGCGGGCGGCAGGAGAGAGGTCCAGGAGCGGGGGAGCCAGCAGGGGAGTTAACCGTCTGGTCTGCCCGACAGGCCTAATGAGACCCAGGTGGTCGTTGGCCCCTCTCAGGGAAAGCTGAAGCTTCTGCTGGTCTTGTGGGGAGGGGGAGAGGAGGGGGGGTTCTGCAGCTCCAGGGGGCGGGGCGAGGCGGCCCGCTCGGGCAGGGGGGCGGGGGCAGTGCATAACTTGGACAGAGGCAGTCTGGGGCCCGCAGACACCCAGCTGCTCTGAGCCGAAGGCACAGCATGAAGGTAGCGAGCGTCCGGGGGAGAGGCCTCTTGCCAGGGAAGGGGCCCGTGAAGGCCTGGGGTGTAACTCTGAACTATTCTTAAGCTCGGAGTGTCCCAGGGAGCAGAAGTTCAGGCTGGAGCCAGGTGGCCTGTGCCACCAGGAGACAGATGTAAAGGGATGGGGGGGTCTGGGGCCAGCAGAGGAGCCGTGCTGACCGTGTTTTCCGGTCACCAGGCTCTCCTGGCCTTGCCGCTGCTGCTGCTACTCCTCTCGCCACCACCCTGCACCCCCCAGCTTTCTGGAATCCGGGGAGATGGTAAGTAGCACTGTGTTGGCAGACACAGCCAGGCTGGGCAGAGCGAACACTGCTCAACCCGGGAGGGGGAGTCGGGGGGGGGACCCCCACCTTTGAGCATCCCCTGCCCCCTTGTAGAAATCACACTTCTCCAGAGCGCCCCGGCCCTCTCCACTCGGAGCGGGAGGGGGGCAGGGAGGGAGACACTGAGGGTAAATTGGGGGGTGGTACCTGAACCCTCCCCTCATTGTCCGTGACCCCCAGCTTTGGAGAAGGCGTGCCTTCAGCAGCCGCTCGACTGCGACGACATCTACGCGCAGGGCTACCAGGCAGACGGCGTGTACCTCATCTACCCCTCGGGCCCCAGCGTGCCCGTGCCCGTCTTCTGTGATATGACTACCGAGGGGGGCAAGTGGACGGTGAGTGGGACGAGGCCCCGGCTGTAAGCCTCACCTTTAGGGTGCGCTAGCTGCGTACATGCCCAGCTGGTTTCAGTGCGGCTGCCTGAGGTGGGGTCAGCAGGTGAATGTGGGTAGTTCTCCAGTCCCGGGCTGGTACTGGCCCAGTGCAGGTCACAGAATCACAACCAGCACTCCATCAGGCCCACCTGGATTCCAAAACACTCCTAACCACCTTCTCTTCCTGCCTCTCCACGCTCCCTCCCCTGTGTGAGAACCCAGCTGGGTGCTGGCACTCACCCGCTCAAGGAGCAGCATGTGCCTCGTGTTAGCAACTCCCGACCCCAGCTTGGGCCTTTACCAGTCCTTGCCTGGGATCCCCGACCATCCAGGTCCGTGTCCCTTTGCACTCCAGGTTTTCCAGAAGAGATTCAATGGCTCAGTGAGTTTCTTCCGGGGCTGGAATGACTACAAGCTAGGCTTTGGCCGTGCCGACGGGGAGTACTGGCTGGGTAAGGGGTGGCCAAGTGGCCTGGGGGTCGTGGGGGGTGGCTTCCCCAGAGCCAGGTGCTGGCTGGTTGACAGCCGCCTCTCCTTCCCAGGGCTACAGAACCTGCACCTCCTGACACTGAAGCAGAAGTATGTGCTACGGGTGGACTTGGAGGACTTTGAGAACAACACAGCCTTTGCCAAGTACGTGGACTTCTCCATCTCCCCCAACGCAGTCAGCGCCGAGGAGGACGGCTACACCCTCTACGTGTCAGGCTTCGAGGACGGCGGGGCAGGTAGGCCCTGGGACTCGGCTGGGGATTTGAGGGAGGTGGAGGAGGCAGGGCTGGCTCTGCTCCTCGGCCCCCGTCCCCCTCCAGGACCCTCCTTCAACCTTCCTGGGCTTGGCGGCTTCACTGCTGGCTGCGAACCAGCTTACCCTAGCTTGGGCCCCAGCCTGGAGAGCGGCCACGCTGGCCCTGCTCCAGGCGACTCTGTCAAGGCTCAGCTGTCTGTCTCGTGTCTGCCCGGCATCTGGCTCAGCAGCAGGGCCCCAGGCTGCCCCATGAGCTTTCTCGCGGTGCCCCCCCAGGGGACCCTCCCACTGGGGGATCAGCACCTCGCTGCAGCAGCCCCTTCCCTCCATCCCCTCCCGCGCCAGGCGACTCGCTCTCCTACCACAGCGGCCAGAAGTTCTCCACCTTCGACCGGGACCAGGATCTCTTTGTGCAGAACTGCGCGGCCCTCTCCTCGGGCGCCTTCTGGTTCCGCAGCTGCCACTTCGCCAACCTCAATGGCTTCTACCTGGGCGGCTCCCACCTCTCCTACGCCAACGGCATCAACTGGGCCCAGTGGAAGGGCTTCTACTACTCCCTCAAGCGCACCGAGATGAAAATCCGTCGGGCCTGACGGGCTGGCTCCCGTGGGCCCTGCCTTCCCCGGCCGCCCTGGGGCTCCCTCAGATATTCTCCTGCTATCTCTCTTGGCTCCCATGCACCGGTTTCTCAGGAGGGGCCTAGCGGGTCCACACCCCCCCCCCCCCCCCGCTGATCCCCATCACGTCCCTACAGCATCCACCCAAGCCTGGCACTCCACCTCACACCACGCTGCCAGCGTCTCCCCACTCATTCTGAGGCACAGCCGGCCGGCCTAGCTGGGCTCCACGACACCCTGTGCCAAGAGCGGAGAGCCAGGAGCCGCCCTCCTTGCCACAGGCCCACTGTTAACCTCAGCCAGCTGCCTCTCGCAGCTACCTCTGGCTGGGGCCACCCCAGCTGCATGCTGTCCTCCCTCCACCAACTCTGTTCCCTGAGGGAAGCACCAAGGATGGTCCCCACCCCCCAAGCCCTAGTTCATATTCAACTTGCCCCACCCTGCCTGTCCCACAGTCCCAGCCCCTTCAGCTTGATGCTCCTGCCCCCAAATAGCCACAGCCCAAGCAGATATGGACAGAAGGTCCCCCCTTGCTCTGCTGCCGCACCCCCAGAGCTGACATGAGACCAGAGGAGGGGCAGAGGACAAGCTCTGGGTGGGACAGGTGGGGAGTGGAAGTCTCAATAAATCCCGGGGACCTGGATGAACAGCTTCAGGCGCACAGGTGCTTGCTTCGCCCTCCAGCGTGCGCACCTGGCTGCTCTGTGCTCCTCTACAGGCACAGCCCCCAACTCCACAAATGACACCTAGAGTCACGTGCCAGAGGTAACCTTATATTTCACAGGCCTCGTTTTGATGGCAAAAAGACAGCAATAATAACATAATTATCATAGTATTTTAAAAAACGCAATACTGAAAAGGATCACTCCTAGGAAGCCGCAGTTTCCTGATCCGTCACGGCTCGGGGGTGGCTCAAGTGGCTGCTTAAGGCTGAGGGTGGGTCTGAGATGAACCTGCAGAGTTTGTCCAGGCCGGGACAGGAGTCCTGGAGCGGGGTCTTCCTGGGGTACGGCCCGGGCGGGGCAGTCAGGGCTCCTGGAGGTCAGGCAAGTCGGCCAGCAGCATCGGCGAGTCCATCTGGATCTCACGTTGCAGGGACTCGATGTCGGCAGGGTTGATGCCGTGACCCTCCAGCCAGTCAGCGAGCAGAGAGGCCGACAGGGAAGCCGAGTCTGCCTGGCTGGAAGGAAAAGTGGCGGGGACAGGCTTACCACCAGTCCCACAGACTAGAGCCTCCTGCCTGTCCCACAGCACAATTCCAGAAGCTCTGTCAGCTTACCCATCCTGGGGGCCGTCAGCCACGCCCATGTCGAAAGACTGGTTCAGGAATTCTTCCAGGTCAAAGCCAACACCATAGCCAGCCCCACTGCCCTTCGGAGTGCCCGAGAACACAGGGGGCAGGGGGTCCTCTACCTGCAGGGGATGGTAACAGGTCACAGCAGAACACCAGCAAGTACAGTCAGATATGCTGACTGCTCCACCCAGAGACAGTCCCTGGGCCTGCGGAGCACCAGTGGGGCCTTCCCAGGTGGGATCTTGCTAGCATCAAGCACACAGCCTCCTCCCCATTGTACGCTCCTTCCAGCAGCGGGGATGAGCTGAGAGGGATGAAGTGTCATCTCTGGGCAGGTCTTGAGGAACATACCCACTTTCAGACTCATTTACCCTCAGCTCAAAGCTGGGCATCCCTGGGACCTGGGCCCTTCCCCTCACCTGTGACTTAGACAGCTGCTGGGTCACTAGGCTGACATCGGGGGACTCGGATGTAGAAGGCTGCGGGGCAGCCCTGGGGTCTGGCGGCAGAGGACCAGACGGGAAGTAAGGCAGAACTCCTGAGGTGCTGGGGCCTGGCAAGCCAGTGGGTGGCACAAGTGACTGTGGGGCCAGGAGGCTGGTGGAGGTGGCAGTCTGGAGTGAAGTTGGGACAGGGATGGGCACAGGACCAGGGGGTGGGCAAGTGGGCTGGGGGACAGAAGTGGGGCTGGAACCTGCAGGCTGTAGTGGGGGAGCAGCAGGCTGGGCTACAGGACCAGGGGGAGGACTGGTGGGGTGGGCTGGGGGAGGCATCGGTGCTGCAGCAGTGGCTGGAGCCACAGTGGGGGCAGGGGCCGGAGCCACAGTTGGGGGACGGGCCATGCGAGTCCAGCGCTCCAGCAGGCTACGGTCATTATCACTGAGCACAAGTCCAGCCAGAGGGTCAGTGGAGGAGCCCCCAGCGGCCCCCGCCCCACGCTCTTTCCGCTCCCGCTCCTGCCGCCGCTTCTCTCGCTCCTTGGCTCGCTCCTGTCGCCTCCGCCGCTTCTCCTCCCGTTCCCGCTGGCGCTCCTGGGCTGTCACAGGCTTCCGAGGTTCAGGAACTTCCGTGGGGGCACTGGAACCATCTGCAGGGAAGTTGGGCAGGGCAGGGGAAGGTAAGAGCCTGCAGCCCTGTGTGAAGCAGAGACACCCCCTCTGCCACCCCAGTCCTCAGGCAGTTGCTCGGTCCACAAGGCACCTCTGAGTCGGCTCCGCAAGGACTTGAGCAGGGCAGCTTTGAGGGCGGCCTTGGTGTTGTCGGAGATGGCGCCCTCTCTTTTCGGCGGGGTGGGTTCGCTGGCTGGTGGGGGTGGCTGCAGGGTCAGATCAATGGTGTCAGGTGCAGGGCCAGAGCACGGCGGTGGGACTGGTGGAGGTGACTCCATGGCACAGTCCCCACTGGGAGCCCAGGGGCTGGGCATCTCAACGTCTGGACAGCCAGGCTCACTGGCCACGGGCTGCAAGGAAGGCTGGAAGCGGATCTGCTGGCGGATGCCCTCGCGCCGGGCATGGAAGTCCTCAATCTCGGCCACAATGGCCTCCTTAATGCGCTCGCGGGTGAGGGCTTCGCGATCAAAGGCAAAGTCGAAGGGCGGGGCACAATCAGGCTCATCATCGGGATCATGGTACTTGGCCAGGAAGGGATGGCGGAGGGCAGCAGCTGCCGAGATGCGGGCACTGGGCTCAAAACGCAGCATGCGGCCCAGCAGAGAGAGGGCCTGCCGGTCAGCACCAGGGTACACTGTCTCCCAGGGCACAGGCTGGCGTGGCGGCAGGCTCTGGATATAGGCCCGTACCCTCTCAGCCCCCACAGCCTGAATCACAGCCGGCGACGGGGTCCCCAGCACCGTCATGATCAGCTGTAGCTGATGCACGTAGTTTTTGCCCGGGAAGAGCTGGCGCCGGGCCAGCATCTCGCCAAAGATGCAGCCCACGGACCAGAGGTCAATGGCCTGGGTGTACTCATGCAGGGAGAGCATGAGCTCGGGGGCACGGTACCAGCGGGTGGCCACGTACTCGGTCATGAAGTACTGGTGCTCGGCGGGAGACGTGCACAGGCCACGGGCCATGCCAAAGTCCCCAATCTTGAGCTCGCAGTTCTCGTTCACCAACAAGTTGGAGGGTTTGAGATCCCGGTGGATGACCTGCGCCGAGTGCATGTACTTGAGGCCCCGCAGCAGCTGGTAGAGGAAGTAGCGCACGTGCTCCAGCGTGAGCGGCTGCGAGGAGTGGATGATCTGGTGCAGGTCGCTCTCCATCAGGTCCAGCACCACGTAGCTGGCAGGGGAAAGGCAAGGAGGCATGGGTTCACCAGGAGCACTCTCCTGACCCCGGGGCCTCGGCGCACTGATGACACTGTATTGAAGCACACAGAATCCCAGCTTGTCTCACACCTAGTTTCCTCATCTGAGACAAGACGGGGCTGGACAACAGGCTTAAGGTTTGCGGGCTGATTCTACTGTTTTGGCTGCTTGAAGCACTACAACGAAAACTCTGAAAGCATACCCGCTTCCGATGGGGAAGTATTCCGTGATCACTTAGGGCCGTCTGCCATGGGAGCAGGATGCAGGGCAGCGTAAACTTTGCCCAACATTTGAGAGTTTCAATGAAATCACAAACCTGGGGCTGGCACCACAGCACAATTGGCTAATCGTCTGCCTTCAAGCACCAGCATCCCATGTAGGCACCGGTTCATGTCCCGGCTGCTCCACTTCCCACCAGCTCCCTGCTGGTGGCCTGGGAGAGCAGTACAGCACAGGCCAGTGCCACGTGGGACAGCCCGAGAGAGGTCCTGGCTTTAGATCAGCTCAGCTCTGGCCGTTGCAGCAACCTGAGGAGTGAACCGGCGGATGCAAGAGCTCTCTTCATCTCTCCTCTCCAGAAATCTGCCTTTCCACTAAAAATAAATATCTCTCAAACAACAGCAACCAAAAAAAAAAGAAGATACTGTAACCCCTCTACTCTCCTTGAGGAATAACAGCTGTCCCCAGCAACGCCCTCATGAGCACTGGCCTAGGGGACTGTGGAAATTTCCCCAGTCTGCCTCACCACAGGTCGAGCTGCCCTCCCGAACGTGCGGGGACACGGCCCCAGCCCTGCCCTGGCCCTCCGGCTCCTTACACGGATTTGAACTCGCCGTAGGGCACGGTGGGCCTCAGGATGTCCTTGATGGCAATGATGTTGTCGTGCTTGAAGTGTTTGAGGATCTTCAGCTCCCTGAGGGTCCGCTTGGCGTTGGTCACCACGTCGAAGGCGTTAGGGATCTTCTTGATGGCCACCTGCTGGCCTGGGGAGTGGGGAAGAGGCAGGTGTTTGGGGACTACACGGCCGCCGCAGGCCCCTCTCTTAGCATTGCCCTGCAAGGATGCAACCCACAGCAGCTCCCACACGCCCACTACACCTACTTGGTACTAGGTCCACACCAAATGCTTTCCAACGCGTTAACCTTAACCTACCCTGGGTGGTAGGTCCCACCAAGTTACACTAGGAAACCCGGTTCAGGAGCCCGCCGGAAGCCGTGCCCTGTCCACCTCCAGGACCCTCTGCATGTCACACAGCCCATCCCTTGGGCCAATCTCTGCTTACAAGACCCATGTGGCTCTCAGACACCAAGCACGAGGCTGTTAGGATCAGGGAAATCTCCCCAACGGGGAGGCAGGTTGGTGGGATGGCGAAAGGCCATTTCAGGGACTGCTGGCCCGACTTGGAACCTGCCACCTGCACAAACCATTTCTAAACCGAACCGGGGCCTTTGCCTCCCAACCTGGTCACTCACCGGTGAGGCGGCGCCGGGCAGAGGACACCACCCCGTAAGCCCCGTTGCCAATGGTCTCGATGATCTCGTACTCGTCCCCCACGTCGAAGGTCACGTCGAAGGAGCGGGCTTTGAGCAGAGCCAGGTTCTTGGCAGCCACGGAGGCGGCGGTATGGGTGGGCTCGGCCTTCACTGACCCCGGGGGCTCCCCAGAGGCGTCCTCGCCGTCTTCCTCCTTCAGGGGCTCGGCCATGGTGTCTGCATGGAGATGCCGGTGAGGAGCACTTGCGACCCTCTCCTTCCGGTTCCCCAGGGGGCCTCAGTTCCCCTCCTCCCCCCGTGGGATGGGGAAGCAGGACCAGGGCATTTCCTCCCAAAGTTCCAAATCCGACGGCAGCCGGCCACCGGGACGACAGGGGACGGGGGGGCGGCTGGCCTGCAGGGGACATCCGACGCCGGGTGGGAGTCGGGGCCTCGAACCCGGGTCGGGGTCTGCGTGGGGCAGGGCGCGGCAGTGCGGCGCCGTCCAGGAAGAAAGGGAGGGCGGGGCGCTCGGGGCCTCTCGGGGCCTCGCTCACCGAATGGTGGCTCCTCGGGTCTTCAGGAAGGCCCCGCGGCCGCCGGCTTCCTCGTCCCCAGCCCGGAGGTCTCCAAGAGCCGCCCTCCCACTTATTCAAGCACAGCGGCCACCACCGCACGGCCGCGCGCCGCCCAGCCCATCCCCGCCGCCGCCACCGCCACCGCCCCGCCTCCCAAGACCACGCTCCCTGCAGCTCCTGGCCAATCATGAAGCGGTCTCCGCGGAGGGTCCCGCCCCTGATACCTGCGGAGGCCAATCAGAGCGCATCCGCCGAGGATGCCACACCCCCCACACCACCACCACCCCGCAACGCGCGCCCGCCCGAATCCGCCTCGCCGGAGGGGGTCGCCCAGCCGGGGCGCAGGCACTCGACGCATGCGCGGTGGCGGCCCCGGGGAGCATGGACTCGACACCTGCGCACTGGCGGCCCCGGGGCGCTGGTCCTCAACGCATGCGCGCTGGCGTCTCCGGGCGTCGGCCCTCGACACATGCGCGGTGATGGCCCTGGAGGGAGCATGGATTCGACGCCTGCGCACTGGCGGCCCTGGGAGCAGGCACTTGACGCATGCGCTCTGGCGGCGCGGCGCAGCAAGTGGGGAAAGCTGCCCGCACCCTCGCGTTCGTCCTCCTTCTCCGACTCCCATGTTGTCCTTTTTTTGTCCCCCGGACGCGAGCAGCAGCCGGGCCCTCGGGGTTGTTACCTGGGCGGCGGGAAGGCCCCAGATCCGGGGTTCTGGGAGCTGAGGGGCAGCGGTCACGTCCCGCCAGGACACCGGGCCCACCGGGTTCTAGAACGGCCGGTCAGCCCGGGCTCGGGTGCGGCTTCTCCCGGACTCCGCGCCCGAGTGTGGACGCGGCGGGGCTGGCTCCGAGTCTGCAGGGAGCCCAGCCCTGACTGACACCGGACGGCTGCTGCTCGCCGGCCTCGCAGTCCTGCGGGTCCACCCCTCGGGCGAAGCAGAAGCTCCTAGAGCCGGACCGACCGGGTTGCTACTTTCTTAGGTTGTGAACTAACGGTCTGAGGGTCCAGGGAAGAACGGGGAGTTTCATGAACCCGTGCTTTTGGTTTGTTGGAATCTCCCGCTGTGGGCGTTTTAGATCTTTTCATTTAAATGTACTGAAAGTGCCACCTGCGTGTCCGGCTCCAGACATTTTTTTAAAAGATATATTTTTATTATTTATTTTTATTGGAAAGGCGGATATACAGAGAGGAGAGACAGAGAGGAAGATCTTCCGTCCGATGATTCACTCCCCAAGTGAGCGCAACGGCCAATGCTATGCAAGCGGGGCCGCCGGGATTAGAACCAGCGCCCATATGGGATCCTTGTGCATTCAAGACGAGGACTTTAGCTGCTAGGTCACCTGAATCATTCCCTTAAAAAAGCATTTATTTAATTTAAAAGGCAGAGAAAGAAAGAAAACTCACACTGGTTCACTGCTCAAGTGCCCACTGCAGCGAGAGGTTGGCACAGGTCAAAGCTAGGAGCCAGAAACTCGGTCAAGATCTCTGCCGTGACTGGCCAGAACCCAGCCCCCTGCGCTGTCACTGGCTGCATCCCAGGGTCCGTGTCTGCAGGAAGCTGGAGCCAGAAACAAACCCAGGCATTCTGATGCCAGAATGTCCAGAATGCCCACTCCATTTCTCAGTCAGGCACCCAATGGGCTGGTCCAGCACCCATGCCATCAGCATTGTAAACACCGCTCCAGTGCCAGGAGTGGGCCTGGTAGGGAAACTGCGGGCACTCCTCTGCTAGGTTGTAGCTGCCACTGGTGAGCACAAGAGCCGGGGCTGGTGGTGGACTGGGCTGGGCAAGGCAGCAACACCTGTTGGCACGTGTATGGGTCAGGTCCAGGGACAGGTCAGGCTGTCCAAGCTGCAGCACGCATGGATGTGCCCAAGAATTGGATGGTATGTGGGACAGACTGGGCTAGCCTGTAGCACTTGTCTACACAGGCAAAAACTGGGTCTGGTGGTGGGACTGGTAGAGGTTAGTGGGGGTCACCCTAACTAGGCTGTGCATGAAGACGGGGTCTGTGGCGGGCTGGGCTGGGCCGCAGCACCCATCAGTTTGTGAGAGAGATGGGGCAGGGAGTAGAACTGACCAGGCAGCTGCAGCCACCAGTATTTGTGTTGGCTGGTGCAGGTGACAAAATGAACCTGACCCTGCACTGGCTGGTCAAGTTTGAGGTCACCCCAAGCGAGGTTTCTTGGGGAACTCCCCGGCTGGACCACTGAACTCAGACCCTGGCCACAGGGAAAATCACAATAAGGATGGTTTGACCTTGGAGCGTATGAGTTAGGACTGGGCCTCCTTGTTGCGGATGCCTGAGCACTGGACAGCATGCCCGGATGCACTCAGGGGACATGACAACCTTTAGGCCAGCAGAGGATGTTCAGTGCCTCCTTAGAGGATGGAAAGCAGAGGGGTGGGCCAGCTCTCCTGGCCAAGCTTTGCAGCATGTTCCCGGGTCTGTGGATGCACTGACGTGACCTTGGTCAGCCAATACATATTGGTTGAAAAGTTTGCAACCCTGATACAATGAAATCAACAGTGTCTCAGAACTATCAAAACCACTCAAGTGACACCCTCAGGACACTTTTCCCCACACCGGAGTCTCTAAGGCATCGTCAAAGGACTGTCCCCATCCCGGGTGCTGATACAGTTTGCCAGCAAGGAGTAGCACCCTCCCCTGCAGACATACCAGGAAAAAATTGATACATTTGTCCCACTCAACTTCCTGTAGACCTCCATGCTTCCCACCCTAATCAGAAACCCACACAGGTACACATCCCTCTTGACTGTGTAAACAATGTTAAAAATAAAAGCTTAAAAAAACCCACTCCATCCTCAGCAATTACTTGGTATGGTTGCAAGCATGCTCCATTAACTCCCTCGGTTATTTCCCTAGCTTAACTGATGCACTGTTGTGTTTTTTTAAAACAACGAGATACTTCTATTGACCGTCACTTGTATGTATTTAAATGGCAGAGTTACAGAGAGAGACAGAAGTCTTCGTTTTGCCCGGTTCACTCCCCAGATGGCCTCAATGACTCAGCGTGGGCCAGGCTCAAGCCAGGGGGTTCATCCAGTCTCCTACATGGGGGGCAGAGGCCTGAGCACTTGGGGTCATCTTATGCTGCTTTCCCAGGTGCGTGAGCAGGGAGCTGGGAGCAGGATATGCGGTCTGGGGGCTGCGGGGCGAGCCTGTCCCACCCTCACAGTCTGAGTTCTGCCATGCATGGCAGCTTCCTCTTTCCCAGGCTATCTGCCCTTTGCCTGGTTACATGGACCTGGTGAGCAAGGTGGGGATGGAGCAGAGAGATGGTTAAATTTCCTGGGCTTCCACAGAGGAGGTCAGAGTTGGCTGGGCACAAACCGAGACATGCCCTACAGACACCCGTGCTGCTGCGGGCCGGGGTCTCTGATAATGCGTTTCTCTTGCCCCCTACCACTGTCCCCATGGGGAAGACAGCCTGCCCCAGGGCTCCCACGGCACTAGGCCTTCCCTGCTGATCCCCTGGACCGGCAGCAAGCCCCTGGAAGCTCTCACGCTTACCCCAAGTTTGTTCAATCCACCGCCAAGCTTCCGGCCCCATGATGTCCTGTTGGATTGTGGGGACAACCTCTGACAAAAGCAGGCTGGACACTACCACGGGCCACCCAGTATTGACCACCACAAGCATTTTTGCTGAAACTCACCTCCCTGCACTCCAGGTCGCCAAGGCCACCGGCCACCGGGAAGGGGAGCAGTAGGCCAGACAGGACGGGGTGGAGGGAATCTGTGTGAGTCCCTGGGGAGGGAAGACTCCCTGACCAGGTGTGATCAGGTGTCACCCCGTGGGCTCACCTGGTGGGCTGGGACACCCCACATCCCCTTCCCCCCAAGGAAGGTCTACTCTAGGCTTGGTAGATGGCTGCTGGGAAAGCATGATGACTTGGGGCCCGTACTGGGGACCCAGGGTTCCCCTTCATTTCCTGGATCCAAGAGAAGGTCTCCAACATTTCGTCTCACCTCACCTCAGCCAAGAGGCTCTTCCCCCACCTGCACCCCCAGCCGGCCCTGGGCCTGGTCTGGGTCGGAGCCGAGCAGGCCCTGGGGCGGGGAGGTCTGTCGGGAGGTCCGAGTTTGACTCGGCGGGGATGGCGTCAGCATCACTTCCCGCGAGCATACGAGCCCCCCGGGGAGGACCATCCCGGGGTAGCCGGGGCGGTGCGCACGGGCGTGTGCAGCCTCCCTGCGCAGCAGCCGGCGCGCCCCCCGCCGTCCCACCCCGCGGGACCACAGCGACACCCAGTGGCCCGAGCGCTGCTTTTTGTTTCCACCATCCGCTTTTCCGCCTCCGCGCTTCGGGCCGGCGGAGCCGCATCAGGACCCACACGCTCCCTGACTTTACCGGGTCGGATCGTGCGGAAGGCCGGCCGGCTGGCCCGTCCAGCCAAGGACCTCGCCCGAGCAGACCCCGCCTCGAGGATCGCCCCTGCGCAGGCGCACAGCCTGGAGCCGCGTTCGCGAACGCGCTGAAACGTGTCCCGCGCGCCACGCCGTCTGTATCCACGGCAACGCGGCGCCCCCTCCCTGCCCGCGCTCCGAAACGAGCCCCGGTGCCATGGCGACTCCGACTCCCAGCGTCTTCCTGCTCATGGTCAACGGGCAGGTGGAGAGCGCCCAGGTGAGCAGCCAGGGGGACCCCGGATGCCGCTCGGGCCACTCCCGCGGGGGTTAGGTCCGAGCGGCGGAGGCCGCTGGGAACCCCGAGTCCTGGCGTGCGGATGCCGACTTGGCCCCCCGACAAGCTGAGCCGCTGTGGAGGTCGACCCCGTTGTTTGAGGGGTGATGGGAGGAAGCGGGACTCGAACCCCGCGGCCCCGTGCGCAGTGAGCGCCCCAGCACCCGTGAGCTTATGACGGAGGGATCAGGAGGGAGAAGTCTTGTTCCACTGGTTCACTCCCCAAGTGGCCGCAACCGCCGGAGCTGCGCTGATCCAAAGCCAGGAGCCAGGAGCCTCTTCCGGGTCTCCCACACGTTTGCAGGGTTCCAAGGCTTTGGGCTGTGCTTGACTGCCTTCCCAGGCCATGATCAGGGCGCTGGACAGGCCTCGACCCAGCACCACAGATTACCTGCTAGGTCACGACGCTGGCCAGCCTGGATAATATTGTCCTATGCTTGTGACAGTTGGCAGGGGTTTAGGTAAACAGCCCTGCCAGGGTCGGATGCTCGGGCATCCCACCACAGGCCTCAGGCTCACACCTTGTCCGGGTCTGTCCCGCCCTGGGGCCCGTGCCCATCTGCCCACTCTGTCCTGTTCTCTTCCATCCAGGCACTCAGCCTGGCTGGCTCACCCACTAGTGTTCTTCCTCCACAGTTCCCTGAGTACGACGACCTGTACTGTAAGTACTGCTTCGTGTATGGCCAGGACTGGGCACCCACCGCGGTAAGCCGGGCTCTGGGCAGCGCTGGGGTGTCCCAGGGCACCCCTCACACCCTGTTACCCTCCCCACCAAGAGGACCCAAGCAAGTGGGGGCAGAGGTCACCCACCGCCTTAGTCTGGCTCCCTGGCATCTCCCACCCACACCCCGTGTGCCTGAAGTGGGAGGCAGGAAGCTCCACGAGGTGGCCGGGGAGGGCGCTGTAAGTGAAGGCCTGCAGGAAGTATGGGAGCCAGTCGTGGGGGAAAGAGCACCCTCGGCAGGAGGGTGCAAAGACCTGAGGCCGAGAAGGTGCCCAGCCCGTTTGTGGGGCTGTGAGGGCCCTGGTGTGGCCGCCCACAAGGCCAGGAGGCACGGGAGGCAGGTCCTGGAGGGCCCAGCAGGTCAGGGGAAGGACCAGGCCTTCATCCAGAGACTTGTGAGCTGAGAAAAGAGGGGACTTGCCTTCAGCTTCTCTGTGTGGGAGCAAGGGCAAGAGCAGGGAGGCGGGCAGGGGCGGGGCAGCTGGGACTAGGAAACCCTGTCCCCGCAGGGGCTGGAGGAAGGCATCTCCCAGATCACATCCAAGAGCCAGGATGTGCGGCAGGCGCTGGTGTGGAACTTCCCCATCGACGTCACCTTTAAGAGCACCAACCCCTACGGCTGTGAGTCAGACAACAGGGCATCCCCGCGGTGCCCTGCGTCCAAGTCTGTGCTGGCACTGCATGCAGGGGACGGGGCTTCCTTGTGGCACCCTGCGACTTGCCTGGCGTGGTGGGCTGGGAATCTGCTGGCGCTGCACGCAGGGGCTTCCCCACGGTGCCCTGCGTCTAGTCTAGCACCATGCACACCGATGCTGCCTTCCCTCTCTGATGAGCTCTCCTCTCCTCCCTGCATGCTTCCCCTCACCCCTGCCCATGTGGTGCTGCTGACCTTGTACAAATGCAGAGTCCGCACCCCCCCCCTCCAAATCCTGCAGACACACACTCTGGTCCCCCTGAAGGGCATCAGGCAACCAGCAATAGGGCAGATTCTCAGGCTAACGTTCAGAACGGTCGGCGTTCCCGCACAGCTGCCCTGCACTCTTTGCTGACTTAGTAGAGGGGGCCGAGAGGCTAGCAAGACCCCGTGGCCTCTCTGGGCCCCCAGGGTGCTAATACCAAGGTTCGAAGCCAGAAGAGGGGCAGAGGAAGGTGCAGGGAAATGTTTGAAGCCCCCAGAGGGCTGCCCAGGGAGGGAGGATGGGGGTGGGAGTCAGGCTTGTGGGATGACAGCCTGGCCCTGCGACGGACCGGCTCGGCCGGGAGCAATCAGTCTGACGGGAACAGGACCCCAGGAACGGTGGGCAAGAATTCGGCGAGTGACAAACAGACACGACAACTCAAGGAAGTTGTATCTGAGTGCATTTTGCAAAAGCAAGGCCTCAGCTTATATACAATAGATTATTGCAAAGGGACATTTTCCTTGTTTATACATGTGGTTACATTTCTACAAGCAATTATTCCAGGGAGGTAAGCAGGTGTGTTGAGCAAAGCTTGTTCTCTAATAGCCTGGTGACAGCCTGCAGTTGCTATTTCCTATGGACGCAGTTTGACACCCTTTGACTTTTAATCATTAAGTAGTTAGCCCTCATTGTGTTTTGTGCCTTACACTGGTTTTAATATTAACTTGCCTATATTTCTAGTTTTTCTTCCTGTATGGCTTTTTAAGCTGTAAATCTCTACTATAATCTTCTTTTTAGGAATTCTCAAAAATAGTCCTAAGTAGGTTCATTAAAGCTAGTAACTTGATAGTTTTTATCTCAGACTGCTTGCTATCCTTGTCCAATCTCCTGTCAGAAGGCTTCATAGAACTATAAAGGAACATTGAGCCTTTGCCGCACATAAACAGTATTATTCCAGTCATAAAGATAAGAGCAAAGAGAGTACAGCTAGGAACGCCAAGACCACTAGAGATGCAGCCGAATCCAGGAGGCATCCTTCCTTGAAGCTTCCGCCTCGGCCCGGTGATTTCTCACGCAGGCTCCACTGGAGGTGGCGTGACATGGCCCCTGGCTCAGGAGTGAGAACTCGGTGCAATCACGTGTGCTGGGTGAGGACCATGGCCTGTAAGACGACAGGGGAGCCGGAACTTCCTCCTGCCTTCTGTCCTTACAGTGCTGTGCCTTTCCCTGCCTTTAAACAAGATTTTTTTGGAAAGCGTGACAAATCTTCTATCCTCTGGTTTGTTCCCCAATGGCCATAGCAGTCAGGACTGGGCTAGGCCCAAGCACCATCTTCTTCTGTGTTCACAGGCACACTAGTGGGCAACTGGCTTGACCAGGACTTGAGGCAGTGTGCACCAGCACCAGCAGGTACATGGCCAGGGTAAACTGTGGTAACAGAATATTGTCCTGCTGGAACAAGGCGCCAGTGTGAGTACTACTGACCTGGTGTTGAATTAAGAAAAGTCGCTGGCGCATCCCGCGCACTGCATGACTGCTTTTAGATAAAGTTCCAAGAACATGGGTGACACTGTGTGGGGGCGCACAGCAAGGCCCTGAAGATTGGTGAGATGCGGACAGTGGTGGCCTTGCTGTGGGCTGGCCAGGGGAAGGGCATGGCCCTCGCTTCGTGTCCACTGAGCACTTGGTACACGTTGGGCCTGCTGGCTCCCTGGCCCTCCCTGGGCCAGTGACGTGTCCCATGCAGAGGATAGGGACACTAACACAGTGGGATTTTTGTTTTGTTTGAAAGATTTATTTATTTTTATTGGAAACTCAGATATACAGAGAGGAAGATCTTCCGTCTGCTGATTCACTCCCCAAGTGACTGCAACAGCTGGAGCTGAGCGGATCTGAAGCTTCTTCCGGGTCTCCCACACAGGTGCAGGGTCCCTGCCTTGGGCCGTCCTCCACTGCTTTCCTAAGCCACAGGCAGGGAGCTGGATGGGAAATAGGACAGCCGGGATATGAACCAGTGCTCATATCGGATCCCAGCACATGCAAGGCAAGGACTTTAGCCACTAGGCTACTGCACCAGGCCCAACACAGTGGGCTCTTACCAGAAATGGGCACAGCTGTCAACTTTTTAAAAAAAGATATTTTATGGGACCAGCATTGTGGCATAGCTGGGTAAAGCCGCTGCCTATGATGTCAGCATCGCATATGGATGCTGGTTCAAGCCCCGGCTATTCCATTTCCCATCCAGCTCCCTGCTAATGGCCTGAGAAAGCAATGGAGGACGGCCCAAGTACTTGGGCTTCTGTACCCATGTGGGAGATCTGGAAGTAGCTCCTGGCCTCAAACAGAGTGGTACAGCTGTGGGAGGGGCTGTGCAGGGAACCCAGCCAGGTGCATCCTGTGCGTTCCACCTGCAGCCTGCAGCTCAGCTGGCTGTGTCCCGCCCTCCGCCCACGCCTTCCCTGGCTCTCCCCTGCACTGACCCCGCCTTGCTCCCCCAGGGCCACAGATCGTGCTCAGCGTGTACGGCCCGGATGTGTTCGGGAATGACGTGGTCCGTGGCTATGGGGCAGTGCACGTGCCCTTTGCCCCTGGCCGGTAGGTTCCTACCCCAAGCCTGCCTGCCAGACCCACACCACCTCCCGAGGCTGCTTCAGCCTAGGGCTGGAAGACACCCTGGCGGGGAGGCGGCGGGGGAGGGAGGTATGGCGGGGAGGTGCAGACCACATGGGTGGTGGGGCCTACAAGGACCAGGCCAGGCCTTGGCCCTATGCTTGGCTGCCAACAGCCCATCCGTGCAAACGTGTGTTCCAGGTACAAAAAGACCATCCCCATGTTCGTCCCGGAGTCCACATCCAAACTACAGAAGTTCACCAGGTGAGTGCTCCCCCTGTGTCCTCCCAGCCCGATTACCTGCCGCTGGTCTGCGGGTGGCCAGAGGACACGCTGCACCCTCAGCTTAAACCAGGCCATCTGGCCGCCCCACCCCTGGAGACAGAAGGAAGCGGGTCCCATGGTTGCTGAGGGTCAAGCGGCCTCCCCTCGGCCGCTGGCTGGCAGTGCAGGTCCGCTGGCTGGCAGTGCAGGTCCGTGCGCCCCTGCCGAGAGTCTGTGTGTGGCGTGCAACGGACAAGAAACGCTGCAGCTCAGGAGAAGGCTGGGCCCTGGGGCCGGAGCATGTGAGCTGTGTACCCGCCGTCACAGTGGCCACGGGGACCTTGTTCTAAGTTTGATGTATTGATTTGAAAGGCAGAATTAGAGGGGGACAGGGAGAGGGAATTCCACTTGCAGAATGGCTGCAGTGACCTGGAGCTGCGCCAGACCAAAGCCAGGAGCCTGGGATTCCATCCAGTTCTCCCATGTGCGCGGCAGGGGCCAAGCACCTGGGCCATCCTCCACTGCCTCCCCAAATGCATGAGCAGGGAGCTGGATCAGAAGTGGAGCAGCTGGGACTTGCTCACAGCTGGGACCCTTGATTGCTTGGTTATCAAATGCCTTTACAGGTGGGCACCTCTGGCAGGAAGTGACGTTTAAGTCACACAGGCGAGTGGCTGCCGGGGGAAGTAGTGGAAGAACATTAGGCACTGGTGCTGGTGTTATGGCTCAGCAGGTTAAGCTGCTGCCTGTAGCGCCAGCATCCCTTAGGGACGCTGGTTTTGAGTCTCAGCTGCCCTGCTTCCAGTATAGCTCCCTGCTCCTGCGCCTGGGAAGGCAGTGGAAGATGGCCCAGGTACTCGGGCCCCTGCTCCTGCATGGGAGACTTGGGGGCTCAGAGGGCTTTGGCCTGGCCCAGATGTGGCTATTGTAACCATTTGGAAAATAATCCAGTGGATGGAAAACCTGTCTCTCACCATCTCTAATTCTGCCTTTCAAATACATAAATAAGTCTTTAAAACAAAAAAACAAAACCCTACAAGCAGAGCGGACAGCTGAGCCTTCAGAGGTCAGCATGGCTGGGAGGCTGGGGGGACACACCCAGGAGGTAAGCAGGACCTGGAGACAGACACCTGGGGAGAGACCTCTCACCCAAAGCCACATCCTGTGGGAGCTTCCAGGACCAGCCAGGCCGGCTGACCATCAGCAAGGACCAAGAGCGAGTGGGGGACTCCCGGCACTCCTTTCTCCTGCCAACCTGGGCAGTGTGACTTTCACAGCTGCATCCGTGGAGGCCTCTCGCTGAGGCAGAGACCTGAACCATCCTGCTCCCGCCTTCCCTTCCCCCGCATCCTGCCATGGTGTCCCACTAACCCACCCGTCCACCCCTGACACCCTCAGCCCAGTGGTAGTGTCAGAGCCAGTTGCAGCAGGAGTGGCGGGTGGGCTCAGTGCTGCGGCCCCCTCAGGAGCCGCTTGGGGCACCTGCTGCGCTTGCCTCTTCCCCAGCCCCAGGCTGCAGGGCTCCGGCAACCCCTCCCCAGTCGCAGGTCCGCTTTCTCAGTGGGTGTCAAACCTCCCTCTAATGAGGACGCTGATGATGACACGCAGGGCTCACCTGGATAATCCAGACTAATCCGGAGTAATCACTGCATCTCAGCAGCCTTACCCTCACTTGCAAGACCCCTTTCCCAACCCAACCGCTGCAGTCTTCCCCTGGCCCTCAGGATGACAGCCCAACATCTTCTCCCAAGCTCTCCTAGTTGGGTCTTCTTACCAGCCAGGAGAGTGGAAGCCGTGGGTGCCGCCCTCATTCGAGCCCCAGTGCGCCCGGCACTGGCCGTCTCACTTGGCTCCGGGCTCCTGGACTGTCCTGAGGACTAGGAGTCCGCCTGCCCATTACGTCGCTCCTCTCTGTGGCCCCGAGGGCGGGCGCGGGCGCATGTTGCCATGGTCACTGGGCTGCCAGCGCCGTCCCCGGAGACCGCGGAGTCTCGCTGGCGCGCCCGCGCGGCGCCATCTCCTGCCCAGCGTAAACCGGGAGGCGCGAGTCCTTCCGCTCTGGCCGTCCGGGGTCCGAGCCCGGCAGGTGCCCCCTTCCCGGGATGGTGAGCAGTGACCACGGGGGGGGAGGGAGATTAGGTCTAGGCCCTTCTAATCCTTGTCCCTCACCCTCCTCAGCGGCTGCACCTTCTAGGGTTTTAGACTGATCCCACCTCACATCCGCAAGTGACCCCAGTTTCATGCTCGGAGCAGCTCGGAGTGCAGCTCAAGGGGATGACTGGGGGTGAGGGGACGGGGAGGGGAGGGAAGCCTCTCCAGCGGCAGGGGCCGCGGGGAGGTGCTGGTGCCTCCTCACCCCCTTTTCCCTGTTCGCAGCTGGTTCATGGGACGGCGGCCCGAGTACACAGACCCCAAGGTGGTGGCCCAGGGAGAAGGCCGGGAAGGTAAAACCTGGTGCACCCAGCCCCCTCCTCCATGCACAAGCAGGTCCCCTGGCATCCTCCCATGGAGGACTGAGACCCATTTTACAGCGGAACATGCTGAGGTGGGAGGCGGAGGGAGTCCCAAAGCCCCTGAGCTTCGCGTCTTGCCCCTTCCCAGTCCATCCCTCCTGACCTGACCCCCTGTGTCTGCAGTAACGCGCGTCCGCTCCCAGGGCTTCGTCACCCTCCTCTTCAACGTGGTGACCAAGGACATGAGGAAGCTGGGCTATGATGCTGGGCCTGCAGACACACAGGGCACTTTGGGGCCCAGCCCAACCCAGGGCATCCCCCGGTGAAGGTAGCACTGCCAGGTGGCACGTGATGAAAGGCTGGACTCGTGGTGGGGTGGGAGAGGACAGACCGTTTTATAAAATTAAAGGAAAAAATATTTTCAGAGAGCGCAGAGGTGTGGATGCCTTTTCTCCCTGGTACACTTTCCCCGCCCCTGCCCTGCAGGTGGGAACTACCAGACCACTACACATCACAACCACGCCTCAAGCCACGTCCTTAGCTTCCTCTGCTGCCTCAACACACCCCCAAATGGGCATACTGGCTACCTCCAAAATGGGGGGCATGAGGAAGCACCCCAGGGCTCCAGGACCCCAAGGCTGCCCTTAGTTTGCCCTACCACCCACACCGCCTGGGGGGGAGGCTGCTGGCTGGAGTGTGGCTGTGCCCATGGAAGGAAAGCCTGGCATCTGAGGGGGTTCCCTGGGATGTGACTCATCATGTCACCTGCTCCCCAGGGGCACAGCCCTCCAGAGATCCCAAGCAAGGTCCGTGTGCATACAGTCACTGCCCACGCCTCATCTGGGACCCAGGTCTCCAGTGACCTTCACGCTGTTGGGTCCCCTCACACTTTGAGTTCCTTGGGGCCGTTGGGAACCGGGAGCCAGTGCGCTCTGCCATCTTCCCCACAGCTGCGCCCCTAGGGGGCGCCCTCACCCTGCTCACTGCTGCATTTGCCTCCTGCGGGTTCGCCCCCAGCAGGGACCCCGGGAGGGCCCCCAGGAAGCCTTGGGGCCCGGTTGTTCCCACTTCTCCCCACGCAACCAAGGAGACAGACTGCACAGGCCAAGCTCCGACTGGCCCTGTGTGGTTGGGCTTCTGAATTCAACCAACTGTGGGTGGCAACTATTGGACGATGGTCACTTTTAAAAGTTCTTTTTTTAAAAACATTTTTTATTTGAAAGGAAGATAGAGGAGAGACACATCTTCCACCTGCTGGTTTACTCCCCAGGTGACTGCAATGGCCAGAGCTTCTTCCAGGTCTCCCACAGGTGTAGGGTCCCAAGGACATGAGCCACCCTCCACTGCTTTCTGAGACTCACTGGGAGGGAGCTGGATCAGAATTGAACCAGCCTGGATTCAAACTGCCATCCATATGGGATGCTGGCATTGCACGTGGAGGAGTGGCGTCCCACGCCAAAGCACTAGCCCACAGTGTAGTTAGGCATTAAAAATTCTCTGCAGAGGGACCCTAAGGATACCGGAGTCTGTGCACGGGTTCTGAGCAAATGTACTGTGTATCCAGGGCACTTGGGGATCCAAGATCCACCCGCCGCCACCCTGGTTTTCATGCATGTGGCACCACCAGCAGCATCCTGGGAGGCAGCAGCAAAGCTCCAAGTGTTTGGGTCCTGGCCAACTGCCGTGGGAGACTGCTTTGAGTTCTGGGTTCCCGACCGGGTTGGTCCAGTCCTGGTTGGTATGGGCTCTGGGGGAGTGAACCAGCGCATAGATCTCTGTTGCTCTCTGCCTTTCAAATAAAAAACAAAAAAGCAAATCAATAGGGCTGGCATTATGGTGTATCAGTGGCAATGCTGGCATCACACATGGGCACAGGTTTGAGTCCTGGCTCTCCACTTCCACACCAATTCCCTGGTAATGTGCCTGGGAAAGCAGCAGAGGATGGGCCAAGTGGGAGACCTGGATGAAGCTCCTGGCTTTGGACTGGCCCACTGTTGTGGCCATTTGCAGAGTAAGCCAGTGGATGTAAGATCTCCTTATCCTCCTCTCTGTAACTTTCAAATAAATAACATTTAACAAATAAATACAACCTTCCAAGTGTCTGGTACTCCCTGGGCCCAGGGACGACCACGGTGTCCCCAAGCCCCATGTCACTGGTGAGGAGCACTCAGCACGTCCAGCCGCGAGCCTCTGTTGTGTGCTCTGTCCAGATAGAGAAAGATCGATCAGAAGTGGGTCTGTTACAACGAGATAAACAAAACCCCCGGTACATGTGTGGCAGAGGCTGGCAGAGTGGCTGGGGAAGGACAGTGATAACAGCCACTAGGCACTCCAAGTGCTTCACCTCACGGTGGTGACAGCTAAGCCAGAGCACAGGGCCGGGGCCAGCCCCAGAGGACGTCACCAAGCCCTGCTTGTGTCGTTGCCCGGTCAGGACACCTCTGTGGGAAGGGATCACACAGGGAGATGTTTCAGGCCACCAAAATACACACTGCCACATGGGGACTGATACGTGGAACTGATGGAACCCTATGCTCCTAGGCTGCTGATTGCTGAGGGAAGCACAGGCCTCTGGGGACCATGGCCTTGACACACACAGCTCAGGGCAGCAGGGACAGATGGACAGATGGGCCATCCCCAGCCCCCAGGAGTGTATACCACCCCCAGCTGGGGCCACCATGCCACACAAGTCTGAGAAGCAGAACACGGGCCTCTGAGGACTGGCCCCAGTGAGAGAGGAGTTAGACTGGGTAGTAGACAGGGCATTCTAGGTCCCCAAGTCATCATTTTTTCTCAAATATAAAGGGGTATTTTCCCCCACCATATCTTGGATTCACCAGAGCAAGTACATATTTTAACATATCAGGAACATGCTTCCCCAAGAGACAAGGATGCTATGAACATATCAACTCCCCACCTGAAGCCTCAGTCCAATACCAAGGGGGAGGGCTTCAGACTGGCCTCTTTATCATTAGGAAGGGACCAAGGAAGTTGGCTAGTGACACCTTTCTGGGCCTTTGTCCCAGGGCCAGGTACCATGGAAACCAGGAATTTGTTTATGGAGAAACATCTTTGAGGGAAACCTTTAAAAGATGCTTTCCCCACCATTGACAGGAGTAGTTTTACTTTTCCCCCTGCCACTATGGCAGAGGACTAGGGTCTCTTTTTACTCCACGTCTCCTCCTGCCACTATGGCAGGGAGTAAGGGTTCTTCCTATCTCAGAGCCCCCTCCCATCACTAGGGCAGGAGTCTCCTTTCTCAGCTCTTCCAATAAATCTTGCTTTAAAACTAAACTGTGTCTGCACGAAAGTTCTTTCCTGTGGGACAAGAATTGAGGTTGCTGCCTTTTTCAGGGTCAAAAACCCTGCAACACCAGGACCATACAACTGGCCGTAGTGATGACAGCAGGCAGGGGCATCTCCTGGCCCACTTGGTGCCCTCCTGGGGCAGAAGAAAAACACAACCAGAAACCACATCATGATACAAATGATAAATTATATTTATACAGTAAATATCAACAGTCTACATAAATTCCAAACCAGCCACCGGCCACCAGCTCCTGTGGCTGAGCCACAACTGGGGGACGGCTTGCACTCCGGTGCCCACCACGAGGAGCTATGGTGGCATGCGGGCAGCACACGTGGCAGTGGCTGACAGCTTCATGATCAGTGCAGTGGGCTACAGGGCGCCTACCTGGAGGGGAGCTGAGGGGTTGTCACATGGGCCTTCAGTTCCATCAGGAAGGGCTTCTGGGCTACAATTGCCGACCCCAGTGAGTTGTAAGGCTGGCCCAGGCTGCGCACCATGTGAGGGGAGAGCACCTTGCCACCCAGTGCCCCCAGCCAGGATGAGGCCCACGACCCAGACCCCAGCCGCAGGCCTGCCAGAGCAGCAGCTCCTCAGCCCTCTGGAGCAGGGCGCTGGGCCCTTCAAAGAGGCCCAGGAGAGGGCAGAGCTGGCCTGGTCCCCCATACATCTCTGGGGTGTTGGTGCTAAGGGGGACCGCATGGGGGCTGGCAAGCGGTCAGCTGCCCTGGGACCTGGAGGTGCTAAGTCCGCGTGGGAAAACTGAGCCAGAGCCACCAGCCAGGTGGGCTGCCTGCCCCCACTCTGGCCTTTCATCTGTACTTGATACTTGTGACCAGCAGTAACTGGGTAAGGACAGCAGGAGCCTGGGACAGGGAGGGAATATTAGTGCATGTCTGTTAAAAATCCATCCCCTGTAGCATCCCTTTTTTGTAACAATCGTCTCCAGAACAAGCGAGGAGTCTTGCTCAGTCTGCACATGTGAGTTTGTGGTGAACAGGCAGGTGAGTGCGGGCCAGCCCTGGTCCCTTGCTTCTGCCTCAACCTGGGGGAACCTGTACATACCCCCAACACAGGCCCTCCCCTCGTCCACCTGCATGGGGATGCGGAGGGCAGCATCCCCAGACCGCCCCCCTCCCCAGGCCCAGACATCTCCACTGTAAACACAAATCCTTCCAAATCCCTGCAGGCCTTTCATTTAAAAAAAGGATTAGTTGATAAAAACTGGTGAGTCACATTCATACGTTAGGGGTTTTTTTTTGTTTTTTCTTTTTTTTTTTTTTTTAACTTTTAGGATGTTGGCTTATCAGTAAGAAAAATTGCCTCTCTCTGGTGCAGTAATTATTGGTGCAGTAATTCACCAGAAAAGGGGAGCTGAAAAGGCAGCTGGAGCCTAGATTTTGTTGTTTTTAAGAAACATTTATGTGTAATCAAATTCCCCTATTTTTTTCCTATAAAGAATGTTCTTTAGTTTTTTTCCATAAGGCATTTTTTTGTCATCCAAAGATTTCTATTTTTTTTTTAATTTTCATACAGAATTAAAACCATAAATAAGAGGATTTAAACCACTAAAATGACACGAGCCAATATCTTAACTCAGCCAGACCTGGTAAAATCTATCAAAACTAGACAGTTAAATAAGAACCACGTTATAAAAATATTAGCCAAAAAAAGACTATTAGATAATTCTGCAAACTCAAATATGAAACTGTACTAAACAGATTATGTGCAAACGTTACAAGCACAGAGCCACGTGGCAGGGTTATGCTCAGATTAGTTGTAAAGCTCGCGCAAGTGGAGTCCAGTCCAGAGTGGTCCGCAGTGGCTGCTCCTGACCTTGATCACGCAAGGGGAAGGAACAGGACCCGCAGGCCCCTTCCCCACGAGAACAGCAGCGTCTGGGGGTGGCCGGGTGGCCAGGGGCAGGGCGTGCAGGGCGGAAGTGACTGTCCCCTGTCCTGGGACTGGCTCGGGCCATGGGGAGGGCAGCACTGACTACTTTGGCCTCCCTGTCCAGGGCCTTGGAGGAGCCCAGCCAGGACCTGAGCATTTGGGAGGAGGCAGCGGGAACCAGTCAGGTAGGGGAGAGTGAAGGTGCCCTGTGTGCTGCTCCAGGCTGCAG